GTTTCTATGGGGGACGATGACGACACAGGATGCCCCCAGGGAGAGAGTTCCATAAGTGTGGTGCTGCCACTGAAAATTCCCAAGAATAAGACAAGGGATGGGTATGTGTACCCTTCTCAAGTGTGGCATATTGACTGCCTAGCATCCTCCTGCAGTCAGGGTATTAGGATTCACAGTGAGGAGCACTTCAGAAAGGGTCTGGGGTGTCAACTGCATTTGTTCTCCACTCGCTATACAGAACTGCCCTCCTGTATTATATATGCTTGCATGGCCTTATTGCATGGGTGGGCAAACTAAGGCCTGGGGGCCGGATCCGGCCCAATCGCCTTCTAAATCCGGCCCACAGACAGTCTGGGAATCAGCGTGGAGTAGAATGTGTCCTTTTATTTAAAATGCACCTCTGGGTTATTTGTGGGGCCTGCCTGGTGTTTTTACATGAGCAGAATGTGTGCTTTTATTTAAAATGCATCTCTGGGTTATTTGTAGGGCATAGGAATTTGTTCATTTCCCCCCAAAAAATATAGTCCGGCCCCCCACAAGGTCTAAGGGACAGTGGACTGGCCTCCTGCTGAAAAAGTTTGCTGACCCCTGCCTTATTGTAAGCACAGTTAAAAGGTCCTTGAATTTGCTGAAGAGATTCTCCTCAGAGAACAGATACCTGAGCTCAGACACAGATATAAATGTTTCTACACTGCTCATAAATGGCCTTACTTCCCCTTTAACAGCACAATTGGGGTAGTTTTTTCCCTGCTATCACTCTGTTAATCGGCATTCTATATGCAAGCTGGAGGAAAAGAATTGGCATCCATTGACTGGCAATAAGACCCAATTGATTCCTTCCCAGTGTGAGGGCTGGAATTGTGAGGTGGAGCCATTTTCTTCTAGCCAATTAAGCCTCCAAAACAATATATAGCTTGTTCTTTTCGGGTTTTTTGGTCCTCGCCAATGGCTGTTGGGGTTTGGGAAAGCTCAAAGACCACCAGAGATGCAGTGGAAAGTGGGCTCCTTTTTAAAAAGTAAAAATAGAAGAAAATGAAGACTACTTAACATTCACTTGTAGCTAAAAAGGCAAGAGGTTGATGCAAACCAAAAAAGTGTAAGTAGCAAGGAAGTAAAAGCCTCTGTTTGTTGTCCCTCAGAGACACAATGTAAAAATAATCACTGCTCACCGTTGTGTTGGTATGTTAGATGTGAAACAAAAGGTTATCTAAACAGTCCTTCTAAATTCTTAGTGACTGTTCCCAATTTTTGTTTTCTCTAACAATAATAAATAAGGTATACAAGGCGTATTAAAGAAGCAGTTGAGCATCATGCTTTGCAACTGCTCTACTAGGTGGTAATGAGAATAACACTCAGCATTTACAAAGAACTTTAAACTGTTCTAAACACAGGATTCTGTTGCAAACTTCACACGGGTCCTCTCTCAAGCAGGTACATATTTCCCCAATAATTCAGATGGTGAGCTGAGGCTGTGAGAAAAGGAGGGTGAGTTCGTAGTGATGGGGCAACTTAAAAGCATGTTGGGATGCTTTGTTAATTGGTGGAGCAGCATCTTACCAGCTGTGCTAGACCAGTGCATGCTCTCTTACATGAGGCTCTTCCCTTGTAACCCCTTGCGGTTTCAGAATAAATCATGGAACAGAAACCTACCCATATGTCACCGGGAGAGGCAAAGCAAGTGGTTGTGAAGTTCATAGGTAGGCAGAGCTCAAACACAAAATGGCAGCCTGTGGGCAGAGGAATAAAGGACAAGGTATGGCAGAGAGGAGGCAGATATAGACAGGAATGTAGGTCTGCAAAGAAAATGCCATAGCGCTTCCCCCAAGCAGCAGTTGCAAGCCCTGAAGATTGTACAGAGGTACCTCAGGTTACAGATGCTTCAGGTTACAGACGCTTCAGGTTACAGACTCCACTAACCCAGAAATAGTACCTCGGGTTAAGAACTTTGCTTCAGGATGAGAACAGAAATCGTGCGGTGGCAGCAGTGGGAGGTCTCATTAGCTAAAGTGGTACCTCAGGTTAATAACAGTCTCAGGTTAAGAACGGCCCTCCAGAACAAATTAAGTTCGTAACCTGAGGTACCACTGTATAGGACAGATTAACTTTTCCTTCCCCCGCCAACTGCAGGCTACATTCACCCTTGGCCAGCACTCCAGAGTTCAAATTCCAGCAGTGTGTGTGACCATGGGTATAGCCGGGGGGGGGGGGAGTAGCTCCCCCCCCCAAATCAAGTAAATAAATAAAAATATTTAACTAAAAGTAGAAATTGTAGAAAGATTTTGACAGGTTCTTCTGAGCACTGCCTGTCTCCTGAGAGCCAGAATCTAAACTCAATAGTTTTATTTCCCATATCTTCCATCTCCAATTCATTTTCTTTGCCTGCTTTACGTGAGCGTTCACAAGAAAAGGAAGGGAGGGGGGAGAAGAGAGCCTTTGCGTGCTAAGGCAGCTGTGTTTAACAGGTAGGGCAAGTATGGGGAAGTGCTCAAGGCTTACCGCAGGACTCCTTCCCACCTGCGAGCTCCGATCAAACACCTTGACAGGCAACCAGAGTGGGAAGCCATGATGTAATCGTAGGAACTCAAAACAATCGGCCCTTTCATGGCAAGGCGATAACAATCAAAACAGTATGTTAAGGGCCCTGCCATGCAGGAATACACATGCATATTACTGTGGGGAATTGAAAGCCGGAGTGAAAAGGGGCTTGTTAAGAATATGTAGCCTACTTTCATAATCGCTCTGTAAAATAATAGTCCCTTCAAAACAAGGTTTTAGGCTTATAGAAGGCTTTCTGTGTCTTGACCTTGCAAAAATGCAGAGATGCCAATTTCTTTACTTTTTTTATATTAAAAAAAAGTTAATGAGAGAGTTCCAAAGTGATGCCATGCCAGTTCACAGGCATACGGTGTATAAGGTCCGTTGCATAAGTTTCCATTTAGGGCAGGATAATTTTAATAGGACAGAGGGGAAAGAAGACTTCATAAATTGGGAGCAAGGTCTATGGGCCTGCACCTTCCTGATAATACCTCACCACTGGGACTGCACAGCCACTTTGCTCCTTCCTGGTCATTTTTGCTCCTGCAACACACTGAGTTAACCTGAGGTTTGGCTTCTTGCCCAAACTCAGGTTCCTGGTTAAGCTCTCTTTTCACTAACCACAAGCTATCACCAAGAACAAACATACTGTTGCAATGTAACTGACTATGTACTGTTGCACGTCAGCTGTTGAATTCTGGAAAAAAAATCAAGTTGTCAGATATATATCATTAAGTGTTGAATGTAGATAGTCATTATTCAAAGAATATAATGGCATTCAGAAAATACTTGGAAACGACTCAGCGTCAAAATTTGCAAAAGAAACATTGAAGGCAATCTTGAGGACCAAATCTATTTGAGCTCCCAGCCAGTCTGTGATGTCATAGTAGTTGCAGTTGTGATGTACCTTGTTCCTGCTCCTGGAATAACTACAAAATGGCCCCATTTGTCTGAATGTTGCTTGTTGATTCCTGGTTCTGTTTCTGTTCTGTTCTGTTTTCACAGTCTGCTTCTGTTTCTTGATATTTGTTCTGTTTGCCTCCATAATTCACAATTTAACAATTTTGCTTTTCAAGGCAATGTTCACTGCCCTGGAAGGGTGAGCAAGGCCTTGGCCCAGTTCTTCGCAGTCCCACCATACAGATTCTACTCTTAAGTACTCCACTGCTGCTCACATCATAGCATTGGGCTGTATGGGGGGGGGGGGGCAACTGAAGCACTCCTGCTGAGCTCTGCCACCTGCCTTGGTAGTGTACATTTCCTAACAACACTAAGAGTTTCTTCATAAGGCATCTTTTCTTTTCCAGAGCACAGTGAAGTTTTATTGGGGTTATAATCTTTCCCAGTGAACTTGGGAGAAACCACAAACAGATGGGTCTCATATAGAGGAGCAATCACGTCAAATTTCTTCTCCAGAAATTGTAACAAGAGAGATACTTTCTTTCCCGTAATGCCCTACCCATCACAGAAGATACCCTTTACACCTTTGAACTGGAGGAGTCATTCTTAGGACTTGCAAGTTGCCTGTTTTGCCTGTTACAACATTTCCTAAAAGCATTAGCTAATTAGATCTGACCACAGTCTGGCTACTTCTACCACAGTTCCTTGCACAAAGGCTGGGCAGAATCAAATCCCAACCCGCGGCAGGAACCCACAGTCACTTGGTTGGTGTAAGAACCGTTATGCATCAGTGTTGGAATTGTGTAAAACACTGTCATCTCACTTCCCTGTGTGTAATGCAAAGCAAATAAGCTTCCTGAAAGTTTTGATAGTCATCAGGGTTCCACTTCCACCCCTCTCCTTGAGGGAACTTAAAGGGAATGTTGATGTAAAAATCTGCGATTCCACCTCATTAAGTTCTTCCCGCTACCCTGGATTCAAACAAAGCTGTTTGTTGTGTGTATTTGCTTACTGAAGGAGGCTGAGTTTATGAATGAGACAAGACATTCTGTTCTTGTTTGTGACCCTTCATCTTCTGGGGTGGGGGTGGGGTGGGGAGTTCTGTGGAAGGCCCATGCCATGGTTGTTTGAGTGTGGCCTGAGGTTAGCTAGCATGGAAACTGAGAGCAGAGGTACAGTGTTTGATTCTTGTAGACCCCAAAATAGAATCTTCAAGTTTACTGAATGCTTGGGTGCAAGGGGTGGTATCCAATTGGTGTTCTTTTCTGATTGAAGGCAGTTTTTGGTGATTTCCTCTCCCCTTGGAGCAAAGGGGGGGGCACTTGCAAAGGGGAAGAGGTTGCCTTTTTGTTTAGGGAAGCTTTTAATGTTTAATAGGTTATTGTATTTTAATATTCTGTTGGAAGCCGCTCAGAGTGGCTGGGGAAACCATTATTATTATTATTATTATTATTATTATTATTATTATTATTTCTCTGACAGTCGTCTCCTGTCCATAGAAAGACATCAGCCAGATGCCACTCAAGGAGAAAAGTTTTTTTGTATATATTGTTAAGCACAAACCTTTGTTGATAGCTCAGTCGGTAGAGCACGAGACTCTTAATCTCAAGGTCATGGGTTTGAGCCCCATATTGGGCAAAAGATTCCTGCATTGCAGGGGGTTGGACTAGATGATCCCCGTGGTCCCTTCCAACTCTATGATTCAGATGGCGCCTTCCCTGTGGAACGCCCTCCCACCAGATGTCAAAGAGAACAACAACTACCAGGCTTTTAGAAGACATCTGAAGGCAGCCCTGTTTAGGGAAGCTTTTAATGTTTGATGTATTTTAATATTCTTTTGGAAGCCGCCCAGAGTGGCTGGGGAAGTCCAGCCAGATGGGCGGGGTATAAATAAATTATTATTATTATTATTATTATTATTATTATTATTATTATTAATCTTTACAGAGGGATTCAGCTGTACCCAAATCTCTTTGTGGTAAATCTACAAGGTTTTAATCCCCGCGACAGGGTGAGCTCCCGTCGGTCGGTCCCTGCTCCTGCCAACCTATCAGTTCGAAAGCATGTCAAAGTGCAAGTAGATAAATAGGTACCGCTCCGGCGGGAAGGTAAATGGCGTTTCCATGCGCTGCTCTGGTTCGCCAGAAGCGGCTTAGTCATGCTGGCCACATGACCCGGAAGCTCCCTCGGCCAATAAAGTGAGATGACCGCCGCAACCCCAGAGTCGGTCACGACTGGACCTAATGGTCAGGGGAGCAGGTGTACAGCTTTACCTTTACCTTTACACTTACTTGGGAGTAAGTCCCACCGAACTCAGTAGGATTTACTTCTGGGCAGACATGCCCAGAATTGCGCTGTTAATTGCACTCTCAAAATCTCAAGAATGATCATGTAATTGTGCTCTTTACTTCCCGTGGCTTTGAAAGCATGCCACGGAAAATAAGAACAGGCGTAATAGTCCAGGTTCCACACATAGTGTTAAGATTCCTAAGGGGTATTTGTGTTTTAGATTTTCTGCAATTGCTTTTCTTTTCCTCTTTCTCCAATCTGCACCTGACCACCCACCCTTTCCCTACAAAGCAAAGAAATAACAACAAAACCACCTCACCTAATTGCCTTTAAGGCAGGCAAAGTAGAGCAAGGTCAGAATAGGTTTTGGCTCCTTGTGGGGGGAAGGCTCAGTGGCAATTTTGTGGTTTCTTTTTGCACAGACCCCTCCATTCACACTTTCCTCTCCCACCCATTAATTTGCTGTGGTAATAGCTGCTTTGTGCTAAGGAGAGGGAAGGGGGGGGCTGCTGGAGAGGGGGGGAGGAAGCGTGTAGACAGCAGCTCTACTGTTTTCTAGAAGAGATGTTTTCCCCATACTCTCCCCCCACACACACCTCTCTCTCTCTTTCTCTCTCTCTCCTCCCATGTCTCCCTCCTTCTTCCCTTTCTTCCCTTTATTGAAATAAGTCTGTCCTGGATAAGGAAATTCACAGCAGCGCCTTCTGCATTCTCAACAGTCTTCTTGTTGTTGTTAATATATATATATATAAGTTTAAACAACTCTGGGTGTTTTTTTCTTCTTCTTCCCCACCACCAAGACTGGTCTTATTTTGCTAAGAGGAAACAAGTGTTTAATGTATCAGAAAAAAAGATCTTTCTTGCAGCTGCTGAGGTTTCTCAGAAGCTGAGAATGAAGCCAGTCTTTGTGCGGTGATTTGAGCCTCCTTTTTAAGGAGCGAGGACCTGGGGGGACAGAATGAGGTCCTGCTTTCTCGGCTCTGTGTTTCAAGGGGAAAAGCACTCGTGTTTAGGTGGGCGCTGAGCAACCTTTGCTCAAAAGGTGGGGAAATCTTGTCCCAGCCCTACTTGGATTTGTTTGGCTTCACAGCAGTGGCTCCAAAGCTTTGCTGCAAGTGCTCCCATTTGAGCTAGGTGCTGTAAACGGTAAAGGTAAAGGGACCTCTGACCATTAAGTCCAGTCGCGGACAACTCTGGGGTCGTGGTGCTCATCTCGCTTTACTGGCCGAGGGAGCCAGCGTTTGTCCGCAGACAGTTTGTCTGGGTCATGTGGCCAGCATGACTAAGCCACTTCTGGCGAAACCAGAGCAGCGCACGGAAACACCGTTTACCTTCCCGCCGGAGCGGTACCTATTTATCTACTTGCGCTGGTATGCTTTCAAACTGCTAGGTTGGCAGGAGCTGGGACAGAGCAACAGGAGCTCTCCCCGTTGCGGGGATTCAAACCGCCAACCCTCCGATCGGCAAGCCCAAGAGGCTCAGTGGTTTAGACCACAGTGCCACCCGTGTCCCAACCACTACTATTCAGCCAAGAGTTGGGGTGAACCCCAACTTCTGAAACTGTCTGCTTAGATACATTTTTTTAAAGGCTACCGGGAGGAGGGCCATGATTAGGCTAAACCTGTGGGTAAGTCAAGGTGTGGTGAGGCTTCTGAACTTCAATAACGGTCACTCTTTTCTTTCTCCCGTAATTCATGCACCACCAAGCAGAACATTTCCATTTGCCCAATACTGAGCTGCCAGTGCTGGGCTGAGAATGCAGAGCTCTTGCTTGTGTTGATTTTCTTACTCACTTTAATGTGAGGGGGCGTTTCCCTTCTAGTGTGCAAGGCTGCATTTCAGTGAAGTGAATGGGAAAAGACACATGTGCGCAGGTTGCATGTCTGTGGAGCTGCTACATACAAGGAAGCACTGGTGTGGTGATTTAGTGCTCACAGAATCATAGAATTGTAGAGTTGGAAGAGACCCCCAAGGCTTATCTTGTCCAGCCCCTTGAGGTTCTGGGGTCCGCAGAGTCATTGCAAGACCCCTAAAAGCCCCCACGCTGCTCGAAATTCCCCGAGGGGCTATTCTGCGCTTCTTTTCCAATGGCCGCAGCAAACTGGAAGTCCCTCAATGCAAGGAATCACAACTAAAGCATCCATGACAGATGGCTATCCCACCTCTGCTTAAAAACCTCCAAGGAAGGCGAGTCCACAACCTCCCGAGGGTGTCCACTCCACTGTCTCCACTTTAACAGCTCTTACTGTCAGAAAGTTTTTCCTGATGTTTAGTTGGAATCTCCTTGTAACTTGAAGTCATATTACGCAATGGGAGGATGAAGGTTTTTTTTTAAAAAAATAGAAATAAAAAATCACGTAGCCCCATTACGCTGAACTTTGAAATCCTACAGCATCATTGATTCAAACTGCATTCATTTTGAGAGTTGCAGCTGCCAGGGTTGTGCTATACGTTGGACGATTGCACTGGGATTGCAGGTGAAATTTTAGATTTTATACCTCAAGTGCGTAGGTGGCAGAGGAAAGAGGGTTACTACAGGGCATGGCTGGGACTTGTTGGCAGAGCTTTGGAGGCAACATAAAGGTTTGTGCTGCTTTTGTCCGGACTGTGCCCTCTGGTGTTGTTAATCCTTCATGTTTGTGAGCAGTAAATTCTGTCATCAAACAGAGAAATGCAATAAGGGAAGCTTTTGTTTCCTTTTCAATTCCATTTTGGGAGAAGCTCCCATGAGAGAATGAATCCCTCATTTTCAAGTTTGTGCAGATGTAGATCCTGCAGATAGTCTAATATACACCAGGTGAGTCCTGAGTTTTGAAACCAACACCTCAGCAGCACCCATGCCAAGAATTTTATGTAACCTTCAGTCTCTCTGCCTCACATGCCTTGTATGTTGAGATGGACTGAAACTCAGGTTTGCAAACCACAGTTCATTCATCCTTCCATTCATAAGAACAATCAAGCTGATTCATTCAAGTGTTTTTGTATCCTTTTAGTATTTAGCCACCCCATGACCATTTATGGGAAACTAAGAGCCTTATCAGTCAACTGGGTGGAGCAGAAGTCCTTCCTTCCTTCCTTCCTTCCTTCCTTCCTTCCTTCCTTCCTTCCTTCCTTCCTTGTGTTTTCAAATACAGATGTTATCTTTCTATAGACTTCTGTACATACATACAACACATGCATAGTTTGGCTCAAAATGGTTTAGAATTACTTTAAAAATCCTCAGAAAGAACTTTAGCTACTGGTATTTTGCCAGGTACCAGATAGCATTGTGCTGCAATACTACAATATTGTAAGAAAGCGCATGTATTGATGGCACTCAGATGACTGGACAGGCCACCTCAACTCCCCAGATTCCTGTCCTCTCTAGTTGTTACCATTCCTGTTCATATGCTGCTACCAGTGACCATTGGTGGACCAGTCTTGGCTGCCATTTTTCTTAGTCCATAGTGTGGTCGCACACACGCATGGTATGGTAAGCAAACATGGCAGTCAAGGCAAATAATCCTAGTGAACACTAGAAGCAGCAAGAAAAGTACAGGATGGGGAAAGGACAATGCATCTTACAGATGCTTTGCCAGATGTTTTGAACTACAGCTCTCATCTATCCTGGCATGATGACCATGATGAAAGTTTTCATCCCAGGAATCAGGTGGGCAGCAAGTTGGCAAAAGCTGCTTTACAGTGTATAAATTGCTTTGAAATTCTCTGTTCGTTTATCCTCCCGATAACTCTGCTACCTACATTAAACTAAAATATTGTTGACTTGCCCAAGCCCACCCAGCGAGCTCGTGGTTTAACAGAAATTTCAATCTCGTTTTCTCACTTTAAAACTCAATATTGTACCTCCCTAACCACATTTCCCTGTGTCTGCCTCTGCAGGTAAAATCTACCCGCTTTTAAATGCAAGACAGGAACTCTGTGACCTTTGTTTCTATTTTAAGGACAATAAAATGTCGGTGTGGTTTGACACTCCCTTAGCAAGATTGTGTTCCCTCTCAACCAGCTATTGAGGGCTGAATAGATGGAGTGTTAGACATTCACATCTGTTTAACACCACGGACCTATATTTTTTTCTCTTAAGAATTGAGCACCTCATCAGTATTGACAAAACTAAACAGCATATTGGCAGTGCTAAGCAGCTGATTCGCTGCCCCAACCAAGCAACAGGGTTCCTTACCCGTTTGGAAATATTTGAGCCAGACAGTAAATTGGCCCTCATTTTATATGTCTGAGTAATCGGCATACTTGGCCTCTTAAAACCCTCACCAAGTAAACAAATGCTTTATCTTCTATTGACAAAGACACTTTAATATGTTCCATTTTCAACCGACTTATAGCTGAGCTGTGAAAC